TATGCAGCTGTACCCTCCCCCAAAAGAAGAGCAAGCCCTGTCCCAATTTCAGCAAAAAGGAAAAATATCAGAAGTGGGTAAATGAATGTCACAGAGCAGTGAGAAAAGGTGAAAGCCACTTGAATCTTAATGGTTTGGATGAAAATGATAAAGATAAAACCAATTTTTTAAAAACTAAGAAATAACCAAAACGGATTAAAATGGAATCAGATTTAGCCAGCAGATTTGGGAGTGGATTCTGATGAAACTCTATTGAACCCAATCTCTGGTCAGAAAGAATATATTTTTATAGATATCAATTAGGCCTGTATGAAGGGAAGAGCAAAATAAGATATTAGTTTAGAGTAAAAGAAAAACAACCCCCCTGCTCTCCTAGGAAATGTAATTCATCTTCTCTTTAGCAAAAAGAAAACTGCCCTCCCCCTTTCCTGACCCTCTCTGTGCCCTCTAATGATTTTTGTATATATAGGCCCAACAGTTGGCTTGGTGCGCTCGGCTGTCGGCCATGAATGGGCTTATGCTTATAACAACAGAGCCATGGCCTTGGTGGCATGTGCTTTATAACTCAGCTGAATGGTGACACTTTATTCCTTAAAAGAAACATACATACCAGTCTCACAATAGCCATATTTCTAGGCAGGCACAGAAACCACACTTCCTATAGAGTTACTGTAATCTCTTAGAAGTGGTTATACAGTAAACATATCGCACTGCGCTCAGCATTAAGAACAGCAAGGCTCTCTGTCAGCCTCAGCATTGAACGATATGATCTTGGCTTGCACTCTGCCTGGTGTGACCCCACCCCTGGTAAATACAGGGTTAGAGGTTTCCTCCGTGGATAAAAATACACTAGCCTCTCAGCAGAGAGGGGGAAAAGCCAGAATTCCTCTCTCTTCGGCGCCTATTGTGCACAAGGAGCTGAAAGACTTCTACACTAATCACAAGCTATTTATTTTTTCAGTAGATTTAGAATGTTGTAACAGATTTGAACATGTAAAAGTTGATTTAGTCTGACATAGTACAACGTATGGCTCTGAATGTTTGCATTAGGCAGCAATGTTATAAAACAAAGTGCATTTACTTTGTTACTGTACTTTGCCTAAGTAGATTTATTTCTTGGTCAATTTCACTTTTACAAAATACAAATACCTGTACATTTCTACTATCTATCTATCTATCTATCTATCTATCTATCTATCTATCTAATAAAGTTATCAATAACAAGAGGGGAATTGGTCCATTGATCCAATTTTTTGCCTTAAACTATATTTAAATATATTTAAAAGCAAATTCGTTTACTTTAGTAGAAAGGTTAATGTGGTACCTTTGCTTTTACTTGCATACATTTGTATCAATGTATTTGTGCTTTTATCAAAGTAAAATATTTCTTCCTCCACCTCTGGCATAAGTAATAGCTTCGAGCAAGGGTTGCACAGTTGAAGTGGAGAATTGTGCTTTTTTTTTCATATATTCATTCCTCTTCCTGCTTTTGTCTTTTGTCCCTCATGCCTTCCCATACTTAACAACCTGTGACATCATCATTGTGTTCGTGTTCTGCCCTGCTTCCACCTGATAGAGGCCTACAACTGCTGCAGGTACGTCTTCTGATCAACTGGACTCCAAAAGTTTGACAAGACTAACCGAACGGAGTGGGGTGGAGACAGCTGGATCGCAAGTGCGGACCCAGAGCTTCCTGTTGACAGAAAAGACTTTTCTATCGGTTGAACTGAGCTGGAATAGAGATTATCTGAGTGACTTCCTTATTCAAGTTGGAAACACACAGACAAAGTTCATGGCCATGGCACCTGGAACTCAATGCAGGTGAGGAACTGTCAGATGTCTTTAAATTGCTGTATCAAAGGTTGAAATGAAACAATAAAACATGTTGACTTATGTAATCTTATTTGACCTACTTATACAAACTCACTTGAAAATGTTACATTCATGTTAAGACTGTACCATTTCTGAGGCTTGTTCTTTTCATGTCTTTAAAGATACAAGAATCTCCTCAGAATGGTGCAGCTCTCCTACATTTCTGAAGTAATGAAGGAGACGAAGTTGGAAAAGCACATGTGATCCTGACGCGTTCTGTTAAACACTGGAGGTGAGCAGCTCGAAAAAATTGAAATGAGTCACAAGGGACAAGAAAGTGAGGGGACGGGACTGAGAGATGTCTTCGACATATTACTTAAAGAGCCTACGGAGCGACTGCTGAGCTTGACTATTCAGCTGGGCGAGTCTCCTGAAGATGATGTCATACACATCTTGTGTCTGATCATCCTCCAGAGAGAGCAACAGGTCCTGAACAAACTCCAGATGCTGAAGGACAATGGCCTCACCAAACATCTGGCTGAAAGGTGGAGAATGAGTGGAGGTAAATTAGAAGATTTTAGGGATTACTGTGGTGATTTTCAAGAGTTTACAGGAGAAACTTTGGCCGTGTTGGCTCGAATTTTTAGGGTTTTGTCGGAGCGGAGACTGTGCGATCCAAACCTGAGGAATCTGGCCTATCAGAGAGCTGTTTCTGTTGACAGCCAAAAAACAAGCAGTTGTGAGGATCTGGAATATGATAAACTCAGAGAGGAAGCTAAATTTGTCTGTGGGCCTCAGTTTGAAGAGTGGATGTGCTCTTTAAGAGACCTTAAGTCAGGGTCTTTGCGTGATCCTCAAAGAAGCCTGGATGAAACCTTAAAAGTTACGAATTGGTCAGAGAGAGGTTACAGTCTTGCCAGCCCCCTGGAGGCGAGCTCCTCAATGCCCTCATACCCTACTCATCTAGAAATTAGTATTCCTCCAACAGCCTTGTTTGAAGAGGTCAAAATATCCTCAGAAGCAACCGATCAACCCAAATTGAACACTTTGGTCCTTGCTCCTGGGCAGTCTCACTCATCTGAGGAGCCTAAATCGAATGAACCTGCTCCGCTTGAAACAAAGATAGACTCAAAGAGGCACACAGCACTCGGAGAACATTGCAGGAAGTTGGACATTAAGATTCTCGCTCAAAACCAAACCACCAAACCAAGCAGTATACCAAACTTTGAACCTCCTACTACAGCGAACACTCTTGTCCCCAAGGTACCTGTTCTAGATGACATGCATAAAAGTGAAGCTGCAGACAAGGAGGAGGCAATATTTTATGCATTCGTTATCCTGCATTCACCAGAGGACACAGACGTGGCCGAGAGTATGAAGGAACAAATGGAAATGTTCTCTGGCTGCGAAGGTGCGACTTTCTCAGGGGACTTTGCCATCCCTGGAAAGAGCACCCTGAGGTGCGTGGAGGATGCTATCAACAACTCAGCCTTCACCCTCCTGTTGCTCACCCGCAACTTCAACACTCGCATGTTGGAGATGGAGACAGAGACAGCCCTGATCAACTCCATAAACAACAAACACAAGCACAACACGGTTATCCCTCTGCTACCACGGGAGAACAGCATGCCGAGACAGAGCATGCCCATGGTTCTCAGCACATTAATTCCGTTAGAGGAGAACAGGAACTTTGAGAAAAAAGTGAAAAGGTCGTTGTGTCAAGTAAACGTTAAAAAACAAAAGAAAATCTGGGAAGAGGGGCAGAGAATGAAAAGTGAGATGGAGAGACAGGAAGAACTGAAGCGAATAAATCAGTATCAAAAGCAGCTGATCCAACAGTGTAAAGAAGCACAGTCACTGGAGCGAGATAACCTGAGTCTTTTAATGAAACAAAAGCTTCTTCTTGGTCAACAGGATGTTGGTGACGGCGGTGATAGGTGGCAACAACCATCAAGCATCCATATTGAGAATGCTAATTACATAATGATTGGTAATGACTCACAAATGACTGTGGATCACTGTGGAGATGCAGTCAAGGATGATACAATTTATTCTGAGAAGAAGCAATAAACTCACATGGAAAAAACTTTAAAAAAAACACTATAAGACATTCACTGCAGACTGTTTCTTTATAAAGATATCCAGATAAGGTATACTGAGACCTTTTAGATTCAAGTTTAGCTGAGGAGCGCCATCTACTGACTGATGTATGACATGCACTTCCTGACCTCTTCAGCTGTATAAACCCAACATAGACACTAGGGTGCAGTGTTGTTTCACTTTCCTCGTGGCTCCTTATCGTCCTTCATTAGTGCAGTGACATCCAACAGCATCACTGCTCTGTTGTCAGAAAGCCACAAGAGAGTGAATACTAGCTGGATTTTAAGACATTCTATATGTTGTATGACGATATATTTCAACAAATACTGTCCAAATTTAACAGATTTTCACAGATCTCATTTGGACTATCTTTATTCCTCGTCTGGTAACACTTGTTGTTGCAGAGGACAACAGCAGCAAGCAGCAGGCTGTCAACAAAATCTGCTGGTTGCCAACAAATGATTGAATGATTTGTACCACAGCCTTTAGCCACATTTGTCTTACAGTTTGTTTTTGATGGATGAAAGGATTTTATTAGTTGCCATCTTCTTTAGCTCTTGTTTTACTGTAAATATCAGCTCTCTTTTACACTTTTAACTGAAAGATGCTTTATTAATGCCTTTTGGTTTTTTATGGGATTTTTTTTGCTTGTATTGTCCTGTCTGTGTGAGTGATATCTAAAGGTTCTAAAGGTTCTCCAGGCTGTTGATGGGATGTACATGTTGATTCATAAATGTTGTTGTTTTCTCTTCAATCCTTTCAAATACAGTTGTTGCTAATTTGGGTTTCATTCATTGGTGGAAGAAATATCAAAATTCTTCTCTGCATCGGTATTCACATTGGAAAATATTTCATAAGGAATAAAAATAATATATTTCAATCAAACAATGGTTTAGGTCAACAATCATTTAAAGTAAATTTAACTTTATTACCAAGGAGGTTATGTTTTCATCTGTGTTTGTTAGAAGTATAAAACTAAAGCTACTCAGACGATTTCCATGACTTTCTGTGGAGCATGAGCCCAGGATTTTGGTGTGGATCTGGATCAGGGGGCATGATTTTTTTTTGCATTTGTGTTAACAGATTCAAGGATCTTGGTGCAAAACATATTTACTGATAGTAGTGAGTGTGTGCAATTCAAATAAATTTGGTGCAGTTACTAATACAAATTCAGGTCTAGAGAACTAAAGTTTTGTTTCATAAGGGGACTGATGGACTTTGGGGTTCAAATCTTATTGTGTAGCTACATGATATATAAAGTGTGGCTCAACAGGTTTTTTCAGCAAAATTATGCTGGATTAATAATCTGAGCACTGTGGCAAAAAACTAATTTTTTTAAATTTTAGGTGCTGCATTTTTACTAGAAACAAGGAAGCCACTGTATAGTTTTCTCTGAATTATTCTTAATACATACATACATTCTTAATACAACATGTTGTGAACCATGTAAATCTTTATCTTTAAAGCATCCAGGTTAGCAACTCGCTCTAGTCTCTGTTTGTATGGCTTGATTCACCTGGTTCATCCAAGTTTAACTCTACTTACAGAACAACTTGAGCATGTACAAGGTCCAGGCTTAGCGATGCCCATCTTGAAGTTGTACTCAGGGTTTCTAACTTTGACCTCAATCATGACAAATGTGGCTCAGCTGTGTGAGCAAAGGCACCGCCCATGTTCACCCCTGACTGTTGGTTGGTTGGTTTGTATGTTGGTTTGTTTTTGGAGATGACACAAAACAACTGGATGGATTATCAAGAAACTCGATGGAGGAAAGAACCGATAAAATGTTTTGTGTGAATCCAGAATTTGTCGTCTCTTTCTTTAACATTGGGAGATGGGGTGTTTATTTTCACTGATTTACAAGGAAAAATGTATCTTACTGAAAAAACATGCACATTTAGGGAATAGATAACCATAAGTGTGTACAACTTGATTGAATTAAAGGGGACTGTTGGCAGAGGCGTGTGCTCTACTGAGTATCATCAAGTTTGAAATCAAAATAGACAAACTCGACCACGCTGCCACATTTGAAAAGTTGGACCCGACTTAGAGAACCTCTGAAATAAAGTTAAAATAAACAGTATCCATCCAAAATTAACTATATTTACAGAAATATTGCACTCTCTTGTAGCATTTCAATGTTAAAGGGGCCTACCTATGAGATGACAATATGCAGTGGCCAATGCTAAACCAATTTTAGGCTGGTTTCATACCTCATGAAATGCTGAAACTTGGAAAATAAATATCTACCAGAAACAGCTATGTATGTTGATCCTAAATAACCAAGTAACTGAATCCATCCATTTAAAATCTCACAAAATATGAAATCTAAAACTCAATATAACCAGTTTTTCCCCATTGCTTTGTAAGGGCATACATTTTATTTATAAATGTGGGATTAATTTAACAATATTGATCATATTTGTGTGTGATGGAGATGTATTTTTAACGGACAGTGGTATAGTACAAATCGGCTCGATGTTCCTTTGAATCAAAGCAAAGTAAAAAGATTCAAACTACAGATGTGTGCTCCTTCCAGTCAACTCCACCTTGTTCGCATTTTATTTATATCCACTGTGGTTAACTCCTATCAGAATGAATAGACGAGGTGGGTGTTTTACGCATGCGCAGTGCGCCCCATCCTCCGGTCAGTGCGGCAGGAAAAGCGCAGAGAAGACTACGCGTAGAAGAGAAGGAGAGAGAGGGAGGGAGGGAGAGAAACAGTTAGAAAACAGAAGGAGGAACAACATGGACACAAGCAGGATCTTTATGTTGTGTGTGTGAAGCGGTGCTGCGGTGTGGTGGGATTGAAACCCTCCTCTGGCGCACAGCCGCTCCGTTATGTCGAGGAGAATAAACCCAGGGAATGGAGGCAATCTTCAGGAAGGCTGCTTCTGATCAGCTGCGTCGTGCTGTCAGTGATCCGGGATCGAACTACAACACTAGGGCAGAAAACCCGAGGATGGTGGAGCTCATGTAACACGGGAGTCGTCGCGCTCTCCATCGAGCCACGCTCAAAGTTTTTTTTTTTCTTCTCAGGGCGAGAGGAAATTTTTTTTTTTCGTGCATTGGAATTCCTGTGGACGGGATGTCATCCTCTGGCTGACTGCTGCTCCTCCAGCTGCTGCTGCGGAGGGATCCCCACACCGAGGAGAAGATGGGAGATGCGGCAGACGACAGAGGGATGAGACGGACCTTCATCGTCCCCGCCATCAAGAGCTTCGACTACTACGACTTCACCAGGGCCAAGGTCTCCTGCAGCCTGACGTGGCTGGTGGCCAAGGCTTTCGGCTCGGGTAGGTGGCGCCTTCTCGGTCTCTCACTGTTTGTCCTCTGGTGGATCAGATGAGTGGAAAACAGGGTTAAGATAATGATCAGACACGGTGATGCTGTGTTGGGACCAGTGGGAACATTTTGTAAACAACAGTCTGCAACCTGACTCCAATTAAAGTACTTATAATTACTTAAATATTCCTCCCTCATTATAGCTAGCAGTTAATCTGTCTGGTCCTTGAAACAGCAGCAGTTGATTGAAAAATCAACAGACTCAGAAATGTTAAGACATAATAATAATAATAAACTGAATATAGAACATTTCAAAAAAAGTTACAAGATGATTTAGAAGTTAAAATGAAAAATACGAGGCCAACAACAGGAAACAGTTAAAAGGCAAACAATACAAATAAATTAAAAGCAATTTGAAGATCCCACAGCAATATAGCACAGATTATGAAACAAGTTAAATAGGCGGTAAGATCATAACCAGGAGACAGCAAAACTATAAAAATGTGTTATTCATAGAGATTTAAAAGTGGAGAAGGATTTTGCCAGAGGGATCTCCTTTGGAAAAGGCCCAGTCACCTCTGGTCCTCAACCAGGGCTGTGGACCAAAGGTGATAAACGTCTTCTTTATACATCAACGTAATGTAAAATATATGTTTTGTTTTATTGGGTGTACATCTGTTTACTGCAGGGTTAGAGTCCCTACATGGAGGTCACAGGTCAAACCCCACCACATCACCGCTTGTATCACAGGATTAGTGGTTGAACCTGTTGCTTGCCTAATGCTTATTATTCCCCTGCTGCAGAAGTCAGGCCACAGACCTGTTATGTAACACACATCTTCTCTGTCAGTCTTCGCTGTTTGATGACGAATCAACACACTAGGCTGTAACTTCAGTGATGCAACAGATAACTAATAGAAGTCTTGGAAGCACTTTCTCAGTTAAGCGGATACTATTTTGGTAATTTACCGAAAATTGAGTGACAAAAACAAACATTCATAGTAAGTTGGATTCTGAAACCTCAGCACCAATGTCAACAATCTTGTATTGCGATACACAACGTTGGAACTGCGATATTCCTAAACACACAGCCTATAACAAAACAAATTATTCACATTTATTAATAATTAATGTGTTGTATTATTGATTATACAATTCATACTATAACACATTTGAATCAAGGAATTATATTCCCATTCTACTAATTAGGATGAGTTGTATATTTTTTACATTACACTTGACTGAATGGACCTGTGAGTGATTATCAGCCTGCGGTAAAAGTGACACAGCTTAACAGCTTAAGATGGATAACAACTCTTAGATTGCAGACCCCCACCAGGCACATTCTAATCAGCAGCTCAAATCCATTTTGTGTATTTTCCGGTTAGACAAGACAGAGAAAAGCTGAAATTATTTCTAGTTGAGAATTCGGACACCAGTGAACATTATAGCTACAAATTAATAACAGGATTAATAAATTATCAACATAGATGCTTTTAAATGTTCTGTTTGTCAATGAATTGATTAATCAACCATGTTTTAATTCTACTCTCCAGTAAACCTCTGTATAAAGTACATATGGCTTATACAGCACAAGCTATCGACTGCTCTAGTTTTCTTTTCTTGACAGTTATAATAATGTCTTCTCTTTATACTTTATACTTCATATATGTATCCCAGTCCTGTCTCCTGTCCACTGTGGTCTGGAAGCAGCCTGGGGCCTGCCTCATAAAGACTGAGTAATTCCAGCCTGCTCCGAGCCCAGTGGTTTACTCTAGCTCCTAATGAATGCTTAAACAACTGCTCCTGCATGTACTGCACTTTGAGTCAATGAGCGGCGGTCACTGACAGACGAACTTAAGAGCCAGATCAAATGAGAGACCTCTGAATCACAGCCATTGATACAACACTGTGAGTCAATTAAAGCTGCACTCGATCTCTTTTCTCCAAACTCAGAGAGCATGAAATGGTGGAGCGACATGCAAGATGCAATACAGTAACATGTGAGAGAGACAGGACCTGTTGGCTGTTAGCACAACCACTGACACAGTTTCAACTCCCTGCAGCACCGCCGAGATCTGTGGCCCAATTCATAGCCAGTCCTCTGAGCTTAGTTTGGCCTAATTCTGACGGCCAGCCGATGGTTTGAATCTGGTGCCGCTCAGATGTAACAATTTTCTCATCAGCTGAAAAGGCAAATTATATTAAGGTAAAAAGAGCGGGAGAGTGCATGTGTACTTGTGTTTGTGAGTGGGTGTATCATGAATGTCAGAGCACAGCTTCACTGTCTCTGTCCTGAGGTGGTTCCATGTTCACATGAACTGAAAACACAGAGGCTGCCAAGGGCCAACAAAGTCACTTTAGATTTTTACAGACGGTCTTAATAGTATAATAGTTGTATTTGTGTTTTTAAGGGTTTAATACGACCTCTCAAGAATCATTGCCATATATATATTAGCCAATCTATCAGTACCAGAATTGTTTTACTCCCTATTATTGGTATCAAACCCTCCAAAAATCCATTAGTCAGGCTTTACTAACTGGCAGTTATTGGTCAGTTCACCTCAGCGGAGTTCAGCCGAAATTTGTGATTTTTTTAATTAGATTATTAATCAAATTTCAAATTGATCCTAATTGATGATCCAAATTGCAAATGGTTAAATTTGCATTTCAAATGACTGATGGGCTTTCTTTACCATTTATCCTATGAGGGGGGGAGCTGGAGCTAAACCCAGCACACATCGGGTGAGAGTCTGGGTACAGGTCACCATTGTGTGATATGAGATACATTTATTGAAACTCTCTTATTAGTTCTGGACTTGTCAGTAAAAAGTACCAGACATAAAAAGCGCTGTATCATGTTGTCAATACTTAAACCACCTCAATGATTCTGGCTGGACTGTGCCGTTCAGTTCCCAGCACAGACGTGACCAGTGCCAATGCTGAACATTTCATTCATGCTCATTGGTCAGATGCATTTAGAAGGCTGGAAATGCAATAATTCAGCTAATCAATATCCCCAACAGTAGTCAAGTGTGAGGAAGGAGAGCCAAGGGAGAACTCTCTCCAGCCAAGATGGAATTAATGAATCCTGCTTTGCGTCTCAAGCTGTAGAAGAGGGAACGTAAATGGTGCAGTGGCTAAAATGAAAACAGTTTCCCTCTCTGAAGTCAAGAGTCTTTCAATGCTTTGATCGACAAACAGCTCTGCAGTGATTGGTATGGTGGTTTTCTCTGTGTTTTATATGCAACAGTGTGTTGGTAGGAATCTTCACTCCAGTCATGGTGATGCAAAGAAAGATAGTTTCTAACATGTGGATTTTGTTGTAATACCAGAGCTGGGGAATGATTGTAAAGTTCAATTCCTCACTTCTTGGACTGTTTATAAAGATGGACGACATGACAGCTCCCAAAACTGAAGCCAAATCGTCTCTTGTCAACCTAGACCACAAACTGAATTTGTTTTTCTAGTAAAGAGCAGTAAAGCAGCAGAGATAAGCACTGCTGACTGTTCGGTTGTGTATGCTGAGCTGTGATCCCGGGGGTCTCCAGGGGAGCAGTCTTCTACGTGCCTGGACTTCCTGTGGCAGCTACTTCCTGTCTGTTTCCTCTTTGATGGCCAACACAAAGGAGAAGGTTTTCGCTTGACGAGGCAGTTTTTCATGAACTCAGAAAAGCCCTGAATAGTCTTTAAAAAAATAAGTTTTTCAATATGATTTCTCTATGGAGAGACTGTGGACCGTTACATACGTTTCTAACTGCTGAGAATTGAATGGATGTTTATGTCTGAACTGGGCTTGAAATATTAGATTTCATTAGGTCATTCATTTTGTTGAGCTGTTTTGCTTTTTACAGTTGTGATATTTTAAGGAGAGGTGGAGAACAAAAACAAGCTGTAGCTTTAAGATAGATTCCTCTGGTGTCCTTAGTTTCTCTCAGTGTGATTCAGAGGTGTATAGAGAGGAAATGACCCAACACACCAGGAATACACACACACACACACACGCACACACACACAAAAGGATCGGTGACTAATTTTGTGTCACATGTGGTTAATAATAACATGATGAAAGAAAGAAAGACATAAAGAAAGCAGAGTGGTTAGGTCCTGCTGGTAGTGTAGCTGTGTGTGTGTGTGTGTGTTTAGTTATTTTTTTAAATCAGATTTACTGAGGTAACAGGATTAGAGGGTGCTTCATGTTTTGTGACACACACACACACACACATACTCTGTGGCTTTGTGAACTCCTGTTTGGATCTACATTGATAAAAAAGCATCAACAAATATACATGTGACGTGTGTGTGCTTATTTTTGTAACAGTGAAAACTCCCTTTCTGCCTAAAAAGCCACAGCTCACCACAAACTAAACAGATGTCTTATAGTAGCTCCTGCAATTTCCCTCATGTTTCCTATACCATTATTTCATGGTGTGTGTGTGTGAGAATGTTCATGTGCAACAAGCTTTGAACACTGATGGCGAGGCTCCGAGCTACAATGTGGGACAAAAGACAATTAAAATACAGAAAGAATACCAGCTTGCCTTTTTTTTTAGCAGCAATGGAGCTAGAGAACAGGAGGACGAAACTAAATGAATCTCCTCTCTCCTGTTGTGTGTCTCACTCTTTTCTCAGATGCCATACCAGAGGACCTGGCTGAGCCTTTCTACAGGGACCAGTACAACCAGGAGCACCTGAAGCCGCCGGTGGCCTGCCTGCTCCAGTCCGCAGAGCTGTACTGCCGGGCGGGGAGCCTGATCCTCCGAAGCGATGCCGTCAAACCTTTACTGGGACACAACGCTGTCATCCAGGCCCTGGCTCAGAAGGGCCTATACGTCACTGACCAGGACCGACTGGTCACAGAGAGGGACCTGACCAACACGCCTATAAACATGGTGAGTGGAGACGACACAGTACGTGACTGTATTCAGTGAAGATGTAGCAATTCTTCCTTAAAATGTCGAAAAAAGACTAGACCTATGTTTTCTGAATATATTGTTTTGACTCGTGCACTTCCATTATCCAAAATGTTTCCAACAATGTTCAAACCCTGAGAAATCCCCAATATTATTTAGGATTGTGGCCGTTTCATTTTAGTCGCCTTTTAATTGCATCTTATCTGCTTCGATCATCGATTGGCATTTGCTGTGTAACGTAAATAAAACTTTAATATATGACCTCATCTTTGAACGTTCAATGGTGGTGAAGACAACAACTCCCAACAACTTGCACTGCATCTAAATGTGCACATACGTATATAGTAACCATGGAGATATAGTGTGTGAAATGGGCTGAACTGATTTGGATCTGTTCATTTGCAGCATGTATAAGATCACGTTTATAAAACAGGGCTACAGCTAAGGATTATTCTTATCGATGCCTTTTGATTAGATTACAGCCTCAGATTGATTGATTTAACCAACAAACCACCATAAACCCAAATTGATACAATTTAAAATGATATTAAACAGAGAAAAGCAGCATATTCAGTTTATTCACACATCTAAGAAGTTGATGTTAGTAGGGTTGTCAGACAATTAATCATCTAGCACAAATACATCAGTGGATGTTACTCTGTGATTCATTCAACACATAAAGTGTGCTTCATGATGATGTGGGATTTTTGTCCGTGCGTACTGTACAGCTCCATATGTCCCACTGTTAGATCGCCCTCCAAGACCTGTCCTCTTGAGGGAAAAACAACCTCTAATGACGGGTTTCCTATAGCAACCCATTAGTTACTGTTCTATCTCTGTGTCATTACACAGCACAGGCCAGGGCTTACATGCCTCTCCTCTCACCACCAAGAAATATTCTAGTTATCAATACTGGATCTAGAACGAGATGAAAGAACATAATAAAGCTGCATCGATATTGATTGAAATCCTTAATCTTAATCCTTTCAGAATTGATTAGTCATTTAGTGTATGAGAATAAAAGTATTGCTATTAGTTGTGTGATGTCTTCAAATTGCTTTTTTAATCTGACTACCTATCCAAAGCCCAAAGATAATCAAACAAGGACAAGCAGCAAATCTTCATATTTGAGAGGCTGGAAGAAAATAATGTGGATAATTTATGACTTAAACCATTATCACAAATATTGATTATTGATTAATCGGTTAATTGGCTCACTATAGCATCATATTTTCACCTTTAACTGGACATGTCAACAGTTTAAAAAGCATTAATACATGATCTATGAAAGGAGGAGGGATTTGTAGCAGATGCACTGGTAAGCACACACATGGCTGGAGCCTGGCACTTCTGCTGACGCCAAAAGGTGTCTGCATTGCAGTGCACACGTGCCCCCTCCCTCTCCTGCTCTCACTCTGTCTCTCTGTCTTTCCTCAACACTCCATTTCTTCTCTCCATCCCTTCTCCAGCTTGTTTCCTCCTCTGATTTTTCGTCTCTTCCCCTATCAGGTTTAACCTTTCCAGACTCTGCCTCATCCAAACTCTGTCTTTGTGGATTAACCAGAACATTGTTATCACCTTATTATTTAACCAAAGCTGAGGCACAGTTCATCAAACCCACTGGTGCCAACACATCCTCTCTGAAGTCATAGCTGAATTCTTGTCCGCCCTCTGCTTGTTCTCTACAGCTCCAGGTGATCATTCAAAGACGGCAGCCAAGGACATTTTAA